AAAGCATCTAGGAGAGAACTACCTGCCATAATGAATGTGTCATACTGCTATGTTATACAATGAAAGCATCTGGAGAGAACTACCTGACATAATGAATGTGCATACTGGTATGTTATACAATGAAAGCATTTAGAGAGGACTACCTGACATAATGAATGTGTCATACTGCTATGTTATACAATGAAAGCATCTGGAGAGAACTACCTGACATAATGAATGTGTCATACTGGTATGTTACACAATGAAAGCATCTCGAGAGAACTACCTGACATAATGAATGTGTCATACTGGTATGTTACATAATGAAAGCATTTAGAGAGGTCTACCTGACATAATTAACGTGGCATAATGGTATGTTACACAATGAAAGCATTTAGAGAGGACTACCTGACATAATGAATGTGTCATACTGGTATGCTATACAATGAAAGCATCTGGAGAGAACTACCTGACATAATGAATATGTCATACTGGTATGTTATACAATGAAAGCATCTGGAGAGAACTACCTGACATAACGAATGTGTCATACTGGTATGTTACACAATGAAAATATTTAGAGGGAACTATCTGACATAATTAATGTGGCATACTGGTATGTTATACAATAAAAGCATCTGGCTCAAAGCAAAGCTAAAAACTGCCACATAACCAAATCTGGCTTAGGTAAACACTACAGAGAATAAGATGAAATTATTGATGACAATGATACTCACTTTAAAATAATAATAGTTTTCATGAAAAAGCAAAAGCCAACTGATAGCCAGTTTAGAAGTTAAGTTAAGAAATATTATAGATAATATGTAATCAATACACATAATTTAGCATATATGAATACTCCCTTAAATTGTCAGGAAATCTTTGGTTCAATATGCAATTACAACAAATTAATTCAACATTTGTTAATTTCGTTCTTATATTTGTTTTGGAAAATGACCCAGGCTTAAGAGTCCGATCAGCTACATTAAGGAATGGGAACAATTTCTTGAGAAAATTGTGTCAAGAATAAAAGAAACCCTATCTTGATTTTTTGATGACATATGTACACAGCTTTCACACATATTATACCTTGATGATTTGGTTACTGTAAAACTACTGTAGTATGGGATGAGACTCCAATAAATTAAAAAAAAGTTGTTAAAATTTTACATCAATAATTATTACCAAGGAATGAAGTGTGACTACACATGTAAGTAGTGCTTGATAGTTGTGAGAGAAATACTGCAATGTTTCCTACACTATTCAATTATTTGATGGTGCAATCTACTCACATATAGCATTGAAGAGACTACTTTTGCCTGCATTAGGTGGACCAGCTATGGCAACATGAACACCACTACGTAGCATTTCACCTCTTCTGTTGTCTGAAAGATGTTCACTAATTTCATCTTTTACCAATTTAACAGAATTATTTGCTAAGGAAAAATATAAAAAAATGTAATTACATAATTACATAATTTTTCATAATGTTGCGTTGAACATGTTTCTTGTTTCTAAGGATACGCCCAGAAAAAAATTGTGAAAAACGTGAACAATTTTATATTTCATACCATTTACCAATTTCAAAAACAGCAACCGACAAGCATGCGCAGTTCCCGCATGTGACAGATGAACTTCCAAACACCGGAAATAAATCAGATTGACAGAAGTTTGTTGACGATCGGGTTTGCTCTAATTTTTTAATCGTAAGATATTTCAAGATAGCACAAGATAGCAGGTTAAAAACTTGCTGCTTTTTTGTTACTCTGTTTTCACTTTCAGTGGTAATGAGCTCCACTATGTGTGACGCCACCTATGTTTAGGGGAAAATGTCACATGATGATTTGAATGTGTCGAACGACTTTGAGAACTGCCGAACACACTATGTAAACAGATTTAGGAATCACTCGGCTAAGCGATTACGATCTTAAGCGTAATTAGAAGTAAACATCAATGTTTATTTATTATGCCAAAATAATCATCGGCAAAACAGACATATCAAAGGAAATTGGTCAGTGGTTCATCCTGTGTTAATTAATACATCCATGGTCAAACCATGGCTCTATGGTCAAACTAAGCTGAACAATGTATAATTTTGACAGCCTTTTTTGACAGTGTATCATTCCCATTATCACATATATTTCATCATAAATCACAGTATAATTCACAAATCACTGCTTATGTTATATTAATTATATTACTATGTTTAATACAATATAAATGTCAAATATGACGGATTGTGGCAGGTGGAGTATATATAGTATCGAGCCAAAGAATAAAAGAAGGTTTTACATTTGAATATCGATAACTGTTACAAATAAAATTTTCTGTTGTTACAAATCATTCTCAGGGAGAACTCTCATCATGCAGTTGAGAGTTGTGTTACTCTTCTTAGAAACAGCTTTCAACCAATGAACAAGGTGGTGTAATTAGCTTTCAGAACATTTGTAGATTTATATATAGTTTATATACCGTCCTCCAACACTCCATCCTCTATGTTATCATCTTCACTGAAATCTATATAGGCTTCTATGTTAGCTGCGCACTGTAATGAAAAGAGAAATAAATGCAACATTGTTTCATCATATTGGACTGAATACCGAAAATTCAGTGCAAGAAAAAAACGTTTTTAGTAAATAAATAGGAATTATGATGTGCTTATAACACAACATAACAATTACAATAACAATGTTATTGTGCACAATAACACTGGTATGAATAGTCTGGGGTATGTTATAAGTAAATAAATATATCATACTGTAACATATAAGTTATTAGTACAAGAATAT